GCACAATTCTGACTAATGCTGATCTTCTCCGGTACCCTTTATTTGTATATCCATCTGCCACTATCAATCTTTGCGATTTCACTATTATAGTAACGCTGCACTTATGTCTATATTAAGAAATCTTACTTAGCTTTTCTTTATAAATTTTGTAACCAGCCAGCCTGACCCATGCCTTCCCTCTTCGCTAGAAATTAGATTCTGGACAGTGAAGTAAAACAAGGCTCACCTTACTCTCTTCCTTACTCCCCAACTCTCTCATTCTCTCTCTCTTTCTTTCCAAAACTTACCAGTAACAGCCAGTAAACACACACAAGAAAAAGAATCACAGCACCCTTCATTTTTGATGTAATGTGGCGTTAACTGCACAGAACTTCAAAATGCTGTTGAACCTCAAGACACGAAATACTAGTAGACAGGGCAATATGCTTAAACGACGTGGTCTTATTCCCAGACCTGAGGGGAAGGGGGGCAAGGGCTCTTAAATTCGTTGTGCAGTAAGCTTCGTTGTGCAGTAAGCTTTAAAGGGATTGTTCATTTCACATCATACAGTGTATGTAGATTTGACACACGCACACACACATATCATGCGTTACCTTTACTTATCCTCTTCTCAACTGGAGCAGCTAAACGTAGGAATGAAATGTGATAAGACATTTTCGAAAACAACAAACGTGCTTTTACTCAGGTAAACACGTTGTTTTTCTTGATTATCTACAACAGCAATCGCCTACTATAAATTTCACCTGATTGCATTCAGTTCGAGTCTCTGGATGCTTTCCCAGAGATTTAGATCGATCTAAAGATTAAGATTTAGATCGACCTAACTCCCTGGGGGTTCACGCTAAATTGCAGTCAGCCGAGCAGGCACCATAGTTAATTACCCCCTTACAGCTTTTAGTAGGCGGGACAGACGCTTAAGCCGGCCAAGCTGACAGTAATCTAGTGAGACTCCCCACAAGGATAGATCGATCTAAAAATCTATGGAAATGGGCTCTCTCTCTCTCTCTCTCTCTCTCTCTGTGTTTGACTTACCCGAACAAATCATAACCACAGTCAGCAGGCTTTTAATGATAATAACTGCAATGACTCTAACCATCATGCTGTGCAGAGTGATGTGGCTATAGCTATGTAGGCTTTCCTGTAAGGCTAAGGCTGCTCATTAACTTTCTCTTACTTAAGTTTCAGCTCTGTTCAAACACAAGCATGGGAGTTTTGATAAAGCGACAATACAGGGAGCTCACTGATGTTACTTAGAAACCATTAAGTACCTGCATCATATGAAGTGAACATTTTTTATTCTGCTTGAAAAAAGAAAAGTTTATTTAACTTTACTCCATATTGTCCTGCCATTTATTGTCATATGTAAACCAGCATATACCAACTGCACTCTCATTTGGCCCCTCTGCCATACGTTTTAACTGCTTTGATAGAAATAGTTGAATTAAATAAGTGATATTAAAATCTTTGTAGAAGAGCTCTCTGTCAGCAGAGAATAGAACTAAAACATTATTTTAGATAAAATCCTTTTTATTGCAGCTGTACTGAGACTCCTGTGTCTGATACAATTTTGTCTCCAATAGTATGATGTACATAAATGTCTGTGAACAGTGTCAAAAAATCTCTCTTTCTGGTTATTCCCATTTACGCACGTGTTCGGTCACCCAGTCTTCCTGATTGCTTCCTAACTCCAGTTTTATATACCACTTATCTTCAGTGACCCTCCATGGTTAGTAAGATTCCATGCCTTTGATACAATTTTGTCGCTAATAATATGATGTAAATAAATGTCTGTGAATATGTGTAGAAAAATAGCTCTTTCTGGATACACTTTTCAAATTTACCCACGGTTTCGGTCACCCACTCCTCTTGGTCCTCCTAACTCCAGTTTCATGTACCCAGTCTACCCATTTTAACTTATGATCAGGTACCCCTATCTTTATGCGATGTTTCCAGAAGCCTGTCCATCTTCAATTACCTGCTCTGGCTTGTACATGTCAGGGGCGTAACCAGACCTTTTAAAATTGTACGCACAGAATTTCAAAATTCCCAGGTATAGCTAAATATAGATCGACTTACGCAAAAGATGAAGGGCAGTTTAAATTATATGTGCCACATAAAATAGCTAAGTTTTCACCGTTTATGAAATCATTACTTAAAGTTTAAAATATTCCCACAGTATAATTAAGTTCCAGTAAATTATTTCACCCAGAACCAACACTTTTTCCGGGATTGCGGTACAGGCCATCCATAATTGCCATCTGTATCTTACTTCAAAATTTCAGGGCCTCAAATTTTTCCAAAAGCCGTGAGCGGGGGTGGGGGTGGGGTAAAAATTAATGGAATCTTTTTTTAATAATAAATTTCATTGGGAAAGAGGGTTAAAAATAATTGCTCTTCCACGAAAGAACGCCCTTGTATGAATATAAAAATTGCCTTCTCGTCTCTCTCTGATCGCGAAGTCCATTGAACGAATGTGAAAATTGCTTTCTCTTTTCGCTCAGATCACGCTCTATCTCCCGTTGAAGATACGAAAATTGGCTTGTCGTCTCGCTGCAGTCGGTAACTATCTCTTGTTCCCGATCCTCAGTTAACGAAGTCTCTTGAACAAATATGAAAAGTGCCTATTCGTCTCTTTCGGATTGCGAACAATCTCTCGCCGAAGATTTAAAAATTGCCTTTCTTATGTATTAGCATACGTATAAAGATCCGAAAGGTGTTCCCTTTCATAATTTGGCGGCAAATTAGGTCATAATTCATTTAGGGCCTACACGTGTTTTGTACCGAATGTAGATCATTCTTGTCACTTCTGCATTATGTATCTTAAAGTTAGTGGAAACATTTTATTGTGTTTTGTAAGCTTTAGGTAGTAGTTACGTCGTGACTGAAAAACAGCGTACACTACAAAGTATATAATATTCATACGTCAAATTACTGCGATGGATGTTCATACGACGTCCACAGCTGCCCCGACAAGTTAAGACTTTTTTAATCGTACACTGTAAGCCGGTCGTGATGACAGCGGCCGTCCAATTGGCAGCTGGACGGCTCGCTGAAAAAGGCCTTGCTTACAATGGTATATTTATTGAACTAGGGGCTTACTGACACAAGCTTTGGGAACATATGCAAATGATGCCCGCTTGTATCAAGCTAAATTCTAAATAACGGTGAGGCACTTTTGTTCGATGTGGTTTGTTGCGGTTATCCCGAGTTGTCAGAAAATAATCTTAAGAACAGTTGATCGTTTTAGGATTCTTACACCTTCTTGCTATCCTATTCGTCATATCCATGGTCAGCTTAATGATGAATCTTCTAAAAGTTGAACTTATATATATGGTATCATCCAAAATCAACCAATTATATTACAGGATAAAGCTCTGTTTGTTTGTGAAAATTGCCCATATCACCCTGTTAGTTTTGAGGGTTAAGCTGGGTCAAGTCCGTGTCAAAATTCTTTAGAGCTTTGCAGGAAATATTTTTTCTCTGGCTCCTTATAAAGCCTGTTGTCCAGATTTTATCTAGTGTCCCCAGGTCTGCTGGAGCTGCTCTTTGAAAATAACTCAGGTAGATTTTTATCTGAGATAAATATCGCCTGCGAGTGTGCATTGGACACACTTAAGACAAAGGCTACCTGAGAGTTGAAGGGCATTCAAACCTCCAATTAAGAGGTAAAGTAAGTTCCAGCTAGATGGACTATTAAGATAGGACTTCTGGAGGTAGTTAGTATTGTTTAATTACCTCAGTTCTGTGAAAGCAAACGAGACGGCGGGCGTCAGAACAATGGTGGGTATACGATTCATACAGAAGATTTGTACATTCAGGTGACTCTAACTTACAATCGAAGAGGATTTTCGATTATTTTTCGTGAAAAATACACTGAATTTATAGAGAATAATATCATGATAGGCTCAAAAAATTGTACGCACAGTGCATCCGTGCGTATGCCTAGTTACGCCCATGCATGTAACCCCTTATCTTTAACTCCCACTTAAATACCATAATCTTCATACTTTTGTATAGGAACAATTTAAGATTCAAGGTACACTTCATATTCGAAAATGCCCCATATTCATATTTTGCATTCCACAGCTTCTTATAAAACCTTGCATACATCTTAAAACCGATGTAACTCCTTAACTAATTTTTTTCTGGAGCGTACTTGATGTTGATATCTATAAAGGAGCATACAGGGGGATGGTCGCTGATTCTAATGACTGGCAGTCCTTTAAAACTAAACAAATTTTATAAATGTAATTAAAGGTCGAATTTCAGTACAGAGAGGAATAGATAAATGATTCGCGAGTACGAAAAATGCTTGCACCTGTCACTTTCTTTAAACTCACTTGAAACCCCACATTACCTTTAACTGCTCTTTCCTCTAATGGAGCTGCTTTGAAATAAAGTCTAAGACAATGAAATATTTTTGAGAATAAGATACTTGTAGCTAAAAAGTGTCATTTGCTTCTTGGACATAATAACGTTATTATGTCCAAGGTTTTAGGGGTGTTTTAGGATGAAATTACTGTATATTTTTCTCGGAATGTATGTCAAATAATACTCTGTTACCCTCTAGCGATAAATGCCATGAACACCTCTCGCTGTCGCTCGAGGTATTATGGCATATATCGCTCGGGTGACAGTGTATTATCTCACACATAATGCCTGGTCTACTCATTATGTGACTAATGCTGCACCATGGAATTGTATTGTTGGTCATTTTGTGAAATTTGATGTGAATACAATGATACCAGGAGCATATCATTCCACAGTCATTTATCTCCCCTAAAGTATTGGTCCCGGTGACACTTCTATTGTCCAGTGTGTGCATCTATCATTTGATGAAATAATATTTTTGAGCTTACACCGATTTTTTTTACCGGCGCATGCTGACGACTTAGCCACGCCTCCCTTGGTAAGGGGTTTGCCATGAGGGGGCGGTGCGTATTTATATTTTTCCTTGCCTTGAGTTTCCCGTTATTCAGTTAAAACTCAACAATGTTCACTAATTGTTTTCTAGCCTCTTTATTGTTTCTGAGTCTAAATAAACAAACATGGCGTATAATCGCAGACAAAATTATTCTTTGGGAACAATCATTTGGTGCCATTTTGAACTTTGGACAAATGAACTGTGTCAGTAAAATTTCATAATTAAAAAGGCAAACTTCCATTGTTTGCTACTACTTGTAATGAAAAACAATTCTCACTCAGTATGCTCTGTTTTTATAAAGAGAATCAACAGAAGGAGAACAGAACGTCTAATTTCTAAATAATCATTAAAAAGTATATGCAAAATCTATTAAAACAATACGACTGCAACATTAACAAAAAGTCGGACTTGGTTTTCAAAAAATATTAAAAATATTAAATCAAAATTTTTTCTGGTCGTCTAGATAGGTACAGGACCAAAATTATTATTAGGACCGCCTCCTATAGGTCCGACCGGTCTGGGTCCTGCGCTGTTGGCGGGGCAAGAGTAGCGGATCTCGTAATCTCTGCACATCCTTCCACCTGGTTGGTCAGAATTTCTGCAGATCAATCCTGCACTAGTACAACGCATGCGCAGTTTGTCGGGTGGATTTCCGGAAAACTCGGTGAAAACGTTGTTGGTGCCCCTCTCACGGCATTCGGCTCCAAGGGGTTTTGCTCCAAAGGGGCAGACTGCGCCCAGTTTCTGCAATGATGATTGTTATAAAGTTGAACAATGAACTTTGCTTTTGGTTGAATTTTGAAGATATGACGTGCCTTTTATATAAAAAGATTGAAGGATTTATAAAATAAAAAATGAAATGTTTTAAGATACCTTGCATTATAGGCGACGGCGTAAGATCACTGCGAATTTTTACACTTTTCTTCATTTAACTTGTTTATATAATTTTCGGATTCGTATTTTAATATATAAGTCTGTGGAACCATTACTATTTATTAACTTTTGTTGAGAAATGTAGCCTACAAATTATTTCTATCTTACCAATTGCTCAGACAAGTTTTCCCAGTCCCCAGTTCCGGAGGCGTCGTCACGGTCAAACCACCTACTCCATACGGACACTGAAAATTAAAAATATTTCTTTATTCGTTTTTAAATTGATATAAAATCTTTTCAATTATTGAACAAAATGAGTTGTAAGTTTTGTCGCTTTATATTTTTTAAAATGTATTATATTAGAAAAAGAAAACGGTAAAGCACATTGCTGTAAAAAGAAACAGCCCATATATGTTTTTTAATCGTTCATACGAGCATGGTGACAATAAAAGTACCAATTAAGCACAATATTATTTTTCTTTTTGAAATGTTATCACCTTTGATAAAGTGAAACCTTTTTAAAACTTACACGGACTGGGGCAAAGGTATCGGATCTCGTAGTCACTACACATGGAACCACGCTGGTCAGAGTTTTTACAGACAAGTCCCACTGATGGTGAACATCTGTGAGCCAGCACGTTTGGTGCTGATCCGCTTGTCATGGTAAATATGGCGCTACTGCCTCTGACGCGACACTCGGCTGCGATAGGAGAACTAAGGGGACAGACGGCTCTTATTTTCTGCAACGAAAAAAAGTTTCAGAATAGATAAATAGTCCCTTGGGCTAATTAACGATTTATGTTATGAAAAATTTATGAAAAACGGAATAACAGCTAGATTTTTAATAAGCTAGTTATATTTTGCTAGAAATTAGATATAAATTTGAATTATATAAACCAGCTGAGATTTTATAAGAAATAGATTATCATGATATCTTAATTTTAATTAATTATTTAAAAATATTTAAATATTGAATAATATTAAATATTTACATTTTGGTCAGCTAAAGTTTCCCAGTCTCCACTTCCAGAAGGGTTGTCTCTGTCAAACCATGCAGACCATCTCAAGGCTGGAATTAGAAAAAATAGCGGTAAAAATAATGATAACACGCTGGTTCGCTTGCATGGGGTAATATACCATTTTTGTATTGAAAAGATGACAGACCAACACTGGCGGATCCTATATTATGCTCCTGGGGACAAAGTAAAAAATTACTTCGTTTCGCTTGGCTCGGCAAATGTAAAACAGCGGACGGAACAATTTTATCATAGAACAAAGGTTTAAGCATTGAAAAACGAATGAAAAATGGATAGTTTTCGTGTCGTTTTGTTCCTTAAACCGGTTTTTTTTAAAGAAAAGTGTGCACCACAGACGTTTAGAGAGGGGCACGTGACCCCCAGTTACCGTAGTAAATGTTTCTAAAGTCCCACAAAGATTTTTTTCCAACGGCGATAAAATCTTGATTTTTGAGCCCAAAGAGACAGTGAATGTTATTTAAATCACTGGTGAAAATCAAATAAGAAGCATCGGTTGCCTAATTCAATTTTGTCAGCACTTTATATATATATATATACGAAAGAAGAATAATTAGATATTGTACATATTTATGAGCCCATAAGTTGACGCCATCTTTCTTGACAATTCACTATCTCTAAATATCGAAACCTTAGTTCAGTTGTCCGAGTGAATACGGATTTTCAAAATCGTAATTTAAAGAAGCTTAATTTAAGTTTATAAACTGTAAGTAGAATTTTGATCAGTATTCTTTACAAAAAATAATAATAATCAATAAATTCAATGAAAAATTCATTCCGTTTCTTAAATGTCAGAGCTCTAAATAATTGTAACCCAAAGAAGCTAAAATATAAGAAAACTTACCCTCAATTTGAGCCAAAGCGCTAAAACAGACCAATACAGCTAAAAACAATTTCATTTTTGGTATCTGCCAGTCTTTCAATATCTTTAAGTTCTGTTCTTCTTCTGTAGTATGTCCAAGGTGTATATGCCTAGTGCGGGTTCTTGGCCCATATTTATACTCCTCGAGCTGCCGTGCCATTTCCTCATCAACCCGGCAAATCCGGGACTTGTTTTTCGGCCCACGGAAGTTATTATTACTGTTCCGAATATAACTGGAATCATCTCACCATAACCGTAGACCTATTATTAGTACCATTAACCTGTCGTACGACCTGTCCCCTCGCCGTCAGCAGCCATGACGTCACAAACAGATGAACGCCGAGTGCAAAATTCCCGGACAGAGACAAAAATAGATTCTAACATTTGGTGTCTTAGATATACTTTGTATTACCACAAATCCGAGGAGGACAGGAACCATGTGATTCCCTCTGTTTCTGGGGTACAACTATGCTCCCCTTCTCCCCCACCCCCTAAAAATAAAGTGTAAGGAGCGAAGCGTCAAAACCAGGTAGCTTTTTCATCCCCGTAACCTAGATGTCATGTTTGCCGTAGTCTGCGGGGTTTTTTTAAGTGTGCGGAGCGAGGTAAGACAAATATTTTCATCCTGCCCTCTCCCAACCCCCATAGACCACCTATATACACAAACAGCAAAATCAAAATCTGACAGTGTATTATCATCATCTTTATTATTACCATGGACTTTTATAAATCTCTAATAGTAGGGACAATAAAAAACATGAGGCCAAACTGAATAGAAAATGACCTGGGTCACTGACCGGAGGCAACGGGGGGCAAAAAGCCATTATTTGGCTGTCCGAAATATGGTATTCGCTATTTAAAGTTCAAACAACAGCAACAACTACAATAACAACAACAACAGATTAGAGGAGGTTTGAGATATTGATATTACAGTCGGAAAGCATCACACAGCATCAACAAATAGCATTCTCCATATTTGAAATTTGAATTATTCGTATAAGTAAGATCGCTGTAAGATAAAGCGTGGGAAGGCGGAATATCATTATTCATTCTTTGACGAAATGATATATCCCCGTTTATAATATTTTGTGACGTGTTGCACATGTAGGCGATGCGATTGCCATTGGATTGCAGGGAAAGATTGTGAAATTATGATAAGTGAGGTCCATGTAAAATAACATCACTTTGGCGTGTACGAACTCGTTTCTCTGTCGGAAGTGGCCCGAGATGTCCTTTACTCTGTATTTTTTTTCAGCCCACGATATCATTTAAATAANCGATATAATTATTGTCTATTATGTATCTTCCACTCATATAACTGTTTTTGTCACTGTACTGAGCTGTTTATTTATTTATTTATTTATTTGCTTATCAATTTCTATTGGTCAAAAATGTGATAATGCCGTAAGAAATTTATGTTAAGTATAATTTTCGAATAACTTTGTCTTAAAAAGTAAAGAAAAAAACCTTGGTAAATTATTGTTTCAGTGGACTTCTACCTTCATGCCAAGTAAGGATATCGTCACAGCTGTCGAAATTTTTTGAGAGGTCCGCCTTAAATTGTTATTTGTATTATTCTATGAAGGATATGTTATACCTCGTCAATAAAAGAACTAGACCAACTTCACAGATCGATTTTGGAAGTATTATCTATAGTTTTAAACTAAACTTTAGTTAAAAGAAATGTTGATGTCACTATACGCTGACATAAAAAAGGTTAACACTGGTGCCAGGTAGTTAAACCTGGACTATCAGTGCATGGTTTCCAAAATTTTCAAAGAAGATTGGGCACGAGACGGTAATCTTTCAATTCCTGTTTCTGCTATGCTGTGTTTTGATTATATAAAGTAACGTAATCTTAATATAGCGGCGCAATGGTCTTAACAGTTTATCGTAATACTTAATGGTCTTCTCTGGGTTTCATTTGACTAAAGGCCCAGTCACAATGTCGGCGATCTGTCGGGTATTAGTTTTGGCTGGGGGTCGTCGTAGAAAATAAAAGAATCCTTGAACAATCCTGGCAATAATCCTAATAAAAGTGGAGCAGTCACATTGTCTGAGATTTTTTCAAGGATTTTGACCCGGTTTTGTCGAAAAATCGTGGGATTAGCCTCCGATCGCCTCCGATTGCATCGGAGACGATATCTGCGAGCGTCTTTTCTTGTAATTTTTTTCCCCTGGGTATATGTGGGTATATAGTCTCAGATTATTATTATTATACTGGCCCATTTCTTGCTTGGCCCTTCGGCCTCTTCAGAACCAGCTGAGAGTAACAGGAAAAATTAAGAAACAAGATTACCTTTAGCGAACGAAGCGTTTAACGGATAGATTGTTAAAAATAAATACCTTGCATCAAACATCAATTTCCCAAAATGTCCGAATCTGAGTAATCAAAGTTATACATACCTTGGGATGTTATATGACCGTGGCGATATGTTGACCACTGAAGCCTGTAATACGTTAGCATCAACCTGTTAATAAAAATTTGGAACCTTTCAATGTTATTACACAATAACACAATAATGATGGGAGATGTTATGATTAAATGCTTAGAAGAAATAATAAAAACAGATTATGTGAAACATAAAATGAATTGATTTTATTTGGGTTATTTATTTATTTATTTCAAACCAATTAATTATCAAACATGAAGCTTATTTTTAGAAACATAAACAGATATTACTGCAATATAACCTGCTGGTACAGAGATCTACAGTTCTAAAATGCAAATACCAAGTACCTTTCACACACCACTGCTGAGATGTGAATAATCATATGTATAAAGTAGTAAAAATATCACAAAATGTGTGTAGGCAAGATATTTCTACAAGTAACCTCATTAATCAGTCAGGAAACTTCATAATGCACTCAATAAATGTAGAAATTTGATCAAGAGGAATTCTACATACAGGCATGACAGATTTACCATATATTGCCACCAACCCTTAACTGAATGGGCATAGAAAGAACAGAGTGAGTCTCCCTCCCATTAAAAATGAATAATAAAAAAATAAATAAATAAAACAGATACTGTCATTCTTAATACTGAAAAACAATAGCACTTTGCAGCCTTCACGACCTCACCATTTGCAGACAATGTTCTAGTCACTGTAACTGTGTACTTTTGATGAGGCACAGACACAAGAATAACTCATTTCTCCCCAACTCGCAACTGACAGGCTATCCACATCGTTTCAAAACAACGTTGGTATGCTCCTTTACTTTTGGTGTTGACAGTTTCGCCCCGGGGACATCGTCTTCGGTTAAAAACAACGTATCGTTTTCACCCGTCTTTGCATTGCTCCTGTACAAAATGTCCGCTTGCTGC